ACATGAGAACCACGATAAATATAGCAATAAAATACAGTGTAATTACACTGTATTTTATTGCTATGTGTTAACACACATGTTCCTTCTCACTACTCGTGAATAGAAAGAGATATAAAAGAGATATTTATAGCACATATACGTTTAATATTGGTGAATATATGTAGAAACTTTAAACAGTTTCATCAAGTCTATGAGGATGATAGCTTGAGACCAGTTATGTGACTCTACCATTTTTATAAGAATTACTCATATGTTCACTAACAACCAAAAATAGAGCCATCCCTATATCTCGAGAACCATTGACTCAAATAAGTTGAAATTTTGTATTGTAAATATACAAAATTTCAAGTTATTTGAATCAATGGTTTGTGAGATATAGAGATAGAGCTGTGACAGTTACCATTACCGTAACTGTAACTGTTGGTCGGTTACCGTTCCAGGTAACGGTAACGGGTAAGCAGTTACCGTTACAAGTAACGATAATTGTTCAGCATGTGTTTAACGACGTCAAAAGTGTATAATTACGGCTATTTCTAATAAACATAAGGAACCCGCTGTCGACTTATGATCACCCTTTGGTTGCGACGTTTCGATTGTTTCGAGGGAAGTGACATCAAACATTTCGTATGTGAATCAAATAGATAAAACATTTCTCTTCAAAATGACACAAGAATGAGCCTGATTCATTCATTTGTGAGTGAGTATCGTTCATTTTACAAACAGCTCTAAAATGCAGATCGAAAAAACTGAAAAAAACATTCACAGGGCGTTTGCAAAAAGAGAGGGTCCAAAAGTTATGGATCACCCTGCAATAACTTGGTGGACATAAACATTCATATATAAAATTATAAATTGTATTCGATGTTGCATTTATTAATAGACCTTTTTCAATCGAATTACATAATTCTCTAAATGGTTTTCGCTCATTATTAGAATTACATTTTAATTTAATTTCTTTAAAATTTATATTAATTTTAAATTGTGTTTAGAAAAATCTGTGATTGGAACAAAACGTTCCTCATCTGAAGCATCTGAACACTCCCATTCATTTGTACATAACCATTCAGTTGGTATACATTGACCATTCAAACATTGATATTGATCTTCTGGATATTCAAAACATAATGTTTCATCATAACCCTAATCTAAATTCCAAATTGTATCGCAGTACTGATGAAATAATATTTTATGAGAATTTGACGATTCTATTTCTGGTTTTGTACCATGATCATCAGTAATTATCGATGTAGTATTGAATGACGATGAGTAAGACGATTGTATTATATAATATTTTAGCATTTGACAATTGTATGATGTTCCACTCGCACACAAACGATTTGTTAATAGAAAATTCATTTCACTTATATATTCATCACGATTATTCATTTTATAATCGTTATCTAAATTACCTACTTTTGATGGTAATAAACATGTTTTTTGCTCATTAGAAATATTTAAACATGAAAATCGATGTTTATTTTGTATACAATATTCTTCTTTTTCGTCTTCTCCAAATAAACAATCTTTATAACCATCATTTACGTGAGAATTGGATATATATTTAAAAGATTTTTGACAATAATAAGAAGATGACCGATGATGTTTAGTAAACTTAATAATACTAATATTATGAAATAAATAATTAGATTTTACACAAAAATCATATTCAAATGGTCGATTTTGTGTGGGTAGAGACCAATCGCCTAGAAAGTTCATATAAATCTGTCTCAAGTATACGATTTCCATGTACGTAATATTCATCGTTGCATTTTATACGACTATTATATAGAACACTGTACGGATTTTTATGATAAAACCAATTAGAATTTAAAGCAAAATAGGTGTATAAAAATGATGCAAAAATTGGACCTTCAGGGTATCGAACTAATTTAAGATCTTCCGACACTAAAATTTCATGATAATAGAGATCAATTTGGCTTTGACATGACTGACCATCGCAATTGCATGATAAACTGTTTCCATTCGTTAATGCACATTGAATATAGAAGACACATTATGAGTAGTTGTTATTATTGCTATCATCACAGAATGCGCAATAACCATTCGTCAATGTCCACATAGGATTATTTTTATTTAATTCACACATGAATATTCTGTCACGAAAGCTTATACAATACATATTATAATATTCATCTAGTATATGAAACAGATTCGAAACAATGGATTTATCAATAATATGTTGGCCGTCACCACACGAATAAAATTGTCTTGAAAATAACGATTCTTCACAACTGAAATCAATTTTAAATGGTCAATATTCTGATTGTTTATATACAAAATTTAACTTCAGGTAAGCGACTTCAGGTTTAGCGTTGATTATTATTTGCCGTATGTTATTGCATGCTCTTTCATGTGATGTTATTTTTGAAAGAAAAAAATACATCTTCCAGCTAATACCATACAAAATAAGTATGCATATGCTTACATATATGTCGCATATATCCCTGCACATGCCCATTTCGTTTCTGAGCTCTGAGTTTTTTCGTCGGAATCTCCAAAAAAGTCAGGAACTCAGAAATTCATGTACTCATATACATGTATGTATGTATTTATTGGAAGTTAGGAACTCAGAAATTCATGTACTTTTTTCTGCTTTTTGCATTTTATTGCTGCGCTCTTAGGCACTTGCAAAGATGGATACACGAAAAAAGTTTCGAATACATTTTAACAATCTTATGAAAGAATTATAATAAACAGAAAGGGTAAATGCAAACAGAACAAAAAAAACAGAAAAATATCGTTTTAAAACAGGTTACACGTCTAGTTATAGTTTGAAACTACGTATATTGTTATGATCCGATACATAATTCGGAAAAACGGGCGATAAAGTCCAACCATTTACATAAAAAGGGTTCGTGATCCTAATCGTTAATTTAATCCTCTTAAGGCGAAAGAAGCTCCCTAGGCTTAAATCCTTCCCGATCCTAAATTTGTCCCAAAAGAAGATATCATTTATAAATAACGATTGACCGAGATCAGATTCATTAGATGATAAAAGTCTTTTTTCTAGATAATTCTTAACATGAAAAGTTAGATTTGGTTCATTTGTGAACTCATAGAGGTAATGAGTCGTTACGAACGGGAAACGGTAAACTAACCGGACTTCCACTCTATACTTTCGGTAGTGGAGTTCTTGTTATATAAAGGGAAATAGGGAAAAGAAGGGGAAAAAAAAGGGAAGGCGTATGCGTAGAAGCACAGTCAGAGTACATTTGTAGCTATGTTTTTGTTCCTTTTTAACCATCTCAATTTAATAAATGACTTTTGTATACTTTCGAGACATTTATCCACAGTGGGCTGGAGTGAAAGTTTATCTGTTTATGTAAACCCTAGATATTTAAATCTAGAAACGATCTCGATTAAGTTTTCACCCATCGAGACTATTACATTAAGTTTTCAGACTTGTGAATAGAAAAGCTGCGCTACGGTCTTGGCTGTTTCCACTTTTTGGAGTAGCTTAATAGCCGGTTACATACCTTAGTTCCCCCCTCACTCAGGAAATTAATCATAGTAGATAGATTCTTTGTGATAGGAGGACGTTCAGATCGTCGGCAAACGAATGACATGAAAAAGCGCCAGTGCATTTAACCAGATCTGAATGATATATAATAAAACTGAGCGGGCTTAAAGCACTACCTTGTGGTAGTCCAATGTAAATGAGAAATAGCCCTGACCTTATGTCTCCAAAGATTACGAAGGATCGTCTTTCAGACATTCAACTTACAATTGGCTTCAGAAGTTCTAGTGGCATGCCCATTCTACACAATTTTACTACCAGCCCTGTGTGCCAGACCATATCAAATGCTTTTTTATAATCTACGTATATCGCAAGCGTGGGTATATTAGCTGCTAGTTTGTCCTTGACTTCCTGATATCTTGACAGCACCCTAGTCTTTCACAGTCAATTCATTAAGCTGAGATTCGATCGGTTCCAGTTTCTTTTGTAGAAGTTTTTCAATACCTATTCGAAGAAAATGGCGTTATAAGTTATGTGCTAGGAATAACGACGAAGTTAGCCATAAAAAGAGTTCGTTCTGAGTGCTTTGCTTACTGTGCAAAGTTAAACGAAAACCAACGCTTCAGAATTTTCGAACCCTTCATAAAAACAATTTTTCAAAGCCAAGTTTCTCTTTAGCGAAACTATTCATAAAATCAGAATAAACAGAGCTTGGACCATGTGGACAAAAGCCTTTTATAATGCAAGAGAAATTCAGAAGAACTCAAAATAGGTCAAAACGTTCGTCTCTGCTAAGGATGACAGACTAAAATGTTCAAACATTTCCTCCAATACCTAGAAATTTTCTACAAACCCAGGGTTTTAGCTAAAATGCAGTTTTCTCGCTCCAGAAACATGTTTATTCGCACAAATGATACATATTAGGTTTCAGCGTGAGAAAGATATCTAATGATGTCTTTTCGGAGGAAAATAACAATTTTAGCAGAAAACACGGTGACATTTACTTTTGCCATTTCTTACCAAAAAATACCATTTTTTAAAACGTAAATCAATATAAAAGAAGAAAACGAGCACGAACTAAAATCAATCATGTTCAACAGTACATTCAATTTCTGTGAATAAGTGTTTATTCTCAAATGGTATCACGATGCACTTCTGTTAAATATGCTTTACTTCTAATACTTCATATGAAAATTGATTTAAGTCAAGTAGTTCATAGTAACGATCAAGGTAGTGATGATCTTGTCTACCGGTACGAAAGTTAAGATTACTACAGCTGAGTTGCTTGATGAATGCATAATCAGTATTGTCTCTTTTGAAATAGAAAATAACTGCAGCATAACATTTCATGTTATTCTTACAGTTTGCATTGTCTATAGAAACACAGTAACTAGTTTTTCCACCTGTACGTTGGTATGTAAGTGAATGAAAATACTCTATTCCTCTTCGAAAACGACAGAAAATATCATTTCTAGACAGTTGAACATTAAAATGATGTTGAAAAATGGGAGTGAGCTTGAATAATTCATTTCTATCTATAAAATTTGAATCAAATAATTCTTCAAGAAGACGACTGATGATGATTCCTCTTCTCTTAAGATGAGAGAAGGAGAAGAAGAAGTAGAAGAAGTTTAGAATTTAAGTTAATAGTAAACTATTTGTCTATATGTTTTCCTTTAAGGTGTCCTTGGTGCATCAATTATTCCAAATGTTACGACAGTTAGAAGTATTAGGTATGATGCAAACGGAATGAAAATTCGCAAGGCAAGTGGAATTGGTAAAGGAAAATATGTACCATATAAAAATATAGATTTCGAAAGTAATAATGAAAATAATAATTCTATTTGCGGATAGCATTGGTTTTCGTTTATCTGCTTCAGTCAAATCATCTCAGTAAGCTCTTGAGGAATTCCTTGACACAGTTTGTAACGTGAAATCGTTACTCCGGCTTTTAGGCGTGCCGATATAA